TCATATCACAGCCTTCTGCCCAGCACCCTAGGGGCTGTGAGGAAGCCCTGAAAAGACCCAAACTCTGGTGCCAATGGCCGGTGTGCAGGGCGACACCCACCCTGACCTGGGTGCTGGTAGAGGGAGCCCCTGGCCGGAAGGAGGCTCTGTGGGGTCTGGCATGACTGAGCAGCATGTTCAAGCACCGAAGCCGCAGTCCACACGCTGCCTGTGTGTCTCACGACAGACAGCCATGCCTGTACTGCCATTGAATAGGGAAATATAAGAAACCACAGAGGCAACGCTGAGCTACGGGCTGTTCTAGCCAATCCCCTTGACGCCCCCTAGACACACACGTTCTGGCCTCAGCCCTTTCACCGTTCTCCTTGACAAAGAGGTACTTTATGACTGGGACCAGAGGATGTTAGAGGTCAAGGGTCACGCCGAGTGGCCAGCATTGAACCTGGGCGGGCCTCGGGCCTGGAACTCGTTAGTGGGGGCCTTATGACCCTTTACCACCCAAGACATGGCCTGCTGCCTGTGAGGCCGGCCTCCGGGTGGGTCGTCTTTATCCGGTGAGCTCAAATGTCAGCTGCAGGGCAGCGGGATGGGACACGGAGCAGGGCCGGTCAGCGCCAGCTGGCGTGGGAGAGGTGGCCCTGGCTGAGAGGAGCCCTTTCCCCAAACCACGAGCCCGAGAACCTGGGCCAGGGCGGGTTCCTAAGCACGGGGAGGCCTCAGGCTACGCCGCCCTGGCGAGGCAGCTGCTCTCCACACCCCAGCAGAGACGCTTCACCAGTGGGCCCATCGGTGGGGTCCGTGGGCTCAGGGACACTGTGCCAGCCCTGCTAAGGCCGCCACAAAGCGGCCGTGGCTTGAGCCTGGTGGCCGCCCTCGCTGTCCTCACAGGGACACTGTGCGTCCGCGGCAGTTTCCGGAAGAGCTCACGGAAGTGCAGAGGAGTGTCTTCGGCCCTCCTGCCCAGCGGCCGGTGGATGGACGAGTGATGCTCTCAGGCAGACTCATGATGCCCAACCAGAGCCCCAGGCCTGCACGGGGTCTGTGGACTCAGATGCCAACACCGAGCCAAAGGCAGCTTATCACGTGTGACAGCAAGCAGGACCCGGTGTCCCTGTACCACAGAGTCCTGCCGAGGTCCCCACAGCCTGGCATACAGTGGGGACCTGTTGCTGGGACCCCTGGCAAGTCCCTGTCTGAGTCTTCTCCCTCTACTTTCGAGTCTTTGCTCTGCACGGGATCTGCCTCAGCCCCAAGGAAACCCCAGTGACCGTCGGATCAATCTCAGTTCCAGAAGCTCCCGTGGCTCAGAGAACTGAGATCCAGAGGGTTTTCAATGGCTGACATTCCAGATCGCCCAAACTTTCTCCAACGCACCTCTGAGGGGGTGCAAACCTCCACTCGGCTAGTTAGCAGCTGAGCAAGCAAGCCTTTCACACACCCA